CTCCAACATAATTTTATTATCTTTATAAATAAAATCCTCAACTGGAACCAATACTTAGACAAACTATATTATCTGTAATGTATTCCCAATCGTTCCAATATAAGTACAAATGCATTCACAATTCTGTAGGCTAAATCTTAGTCAAACTTTGAATATTATATGTAAATTATGTAATCTAACAAGTTGTCTAATGCACTCAGTCTCTCGACCAAATAGTGTATATATTAAATAGTAGATTTTTAAAAGTCTCTATACATACTATATATCATATCTAATTATACCATAAAAGTATATTGTGCGTGTTTATTACACATCAATATACTGAAAGATGTCACACATGTTACATTCACTTTTCTAGATTTATAGATCAGTAACATAACTGTGTTTAAACATAAGTCTAAATTTGCATTCAAAATGTCCAAATATTTTTATGCAAATCATATATATATATATATATATGTGTGTGTGTCAGCGTGTGTGTGTCAGTGTGTGTGTGTGTATAGTTGTAGTTCATACATAGACCTGAAAACTTGAGTTATAAATATTGAATTTGTGCAATCATATGAAAATTATTAACAACATTAAAATGGAGGGTATGTACATTTTTTGTCAGCTACAATGTATAACCATTAAATCTAAATTTAACTCAATTGTAAATTCTTATGATGTCGACACCTTAAATGATGATAAGTGTTTCTCTAATCTATATATATATATATATATATATGATTAAGAGATTTTGTACTATATCAATACATAGCTCATCATCACTCTTAATTTGGCTGATTGTGTTCTCTAAATTGAACTTGAGTTTGAGTCTCTTGGCCATTTATACAAATATACAAATATCTATAGAAATGTGTGCAACGTCTAGACGTTCAAACTCTCGATGAACAGCTATTTTAAATCTCTTGATATGCGACCAAACAAAAAATATATCTTGACCTAATCTACGACTGGACTAAAGATAGTTTCGCTCGCATCTAACATTGTTGTGAAAGCCGAAATAAAGATTTGCTCATGGAAAAACTTTTTCATGGTTTGGCAAACTCTTTTTTTTTTTTTGGATAATTTGGTGGTTTAGGCAGAAGTTCAGTTATGACTCTTTTTCGTTTGGGTGGATTGGGTTTTAATGGTTTTGTTCAAACCTAACAAATACTTCAATGCAAAAGCACACTCATTTCTTCTATTTGCTCATCCTCAAAACATCGTTTTTTTTACCTCATTACTCTACAACATTTTATTTTGTTAATTAACCTTATTATGTGCAGTAACTGATCTAATACTAATAAATGGTACTATTAAGTCAATATAATATTGTTTTTGTGTTGTTTAGGTGATTTCTAGGTACCTCACCGTTTTTACCTTTTTTTAGATATGTTCATCAAAAGACGAGAGATATAGAAGTTATAAGACCATCTCCAATGGTTGCCTCTATTTTTGCCTCTAAATTAGAGGAACTCTAAAATAGAGGTACATTTGTTTCCAATGGTTACCTCTATTTTTCTCTCTAAAAAGGAATATTCTCAGTATATTCTTTTTTTTAATTATTCTTAACACCTTTTATTAATAAAATTTATGAATGAACCCCACTTATTTTTTTTTACAAAAATTTACAGAAATTATAATAATACTAACTTTGATAAATAAAATTTGTGAATTAATCTTTTATTGTACTTTTTATAAAAGTTTTCATAAATTATAATAATACTAATCTTTGACTACTAAATTTTTTAAATTAATCCCACTTATGTTACTTTTTTATGAAAGTTTCAACATATTATAATAGTATTAGAAGTAAAAATTCATAAATTAAATTGATGTTATTTTTCGTTTATTTTTATATATTTTTAATTTGTAATTATCTTTTTGTAGTTTAATTTGCAATGAGAATTTTTATATTTAATAATATCATATGTTTTTATTTTTTTTTTTAACTATAACCAAAATTATCACATTTATAGTCATAAAAAAATTATACTTTTTGCATAAATAAAAAGATTTAAAAGTTAAAGGACTGTTTTATAAATAAAAAAGTTCACCTCTATTATAGAGAGAAAAAATAGAGTCCCTCTATATTTGGAGGAAAAAATAGCAATCTCTATTTTAGAGGTGAAAATAGAGGTGGGTTGGAGTATAATCTCTATTTTTACCTCTAAAATAGAGGTGGGTTAGAGATGCCCTAAGGAACAAGTTATAATGATGTTCTGTCAAAGCTCCATGGAAATTAAGGGGATTTTCAGATATTGAGATATATCCATCAAAGACAATTTCATATAAGTCCCAAGTCGGTAGTATCAAAAGTTATAATGATGTTCTGTCAAAGCTCCATGGAAATTAAGGGGATTTTCAGATATTGAGATATATCCATCAAAGACAATTTCATATAAGTCCCAAGTCGGTAGTATCAAAACATTTGATCCAATCTACTCATTTAATAACCCACATCAGTGTATTTGCTACTAGTATACTAGGTTTTTTCTTCTTCTTTTTCTTCTTTTGATAGCAAAATGATTAGTTTACTTATAATAAATTTAAAGCCAAGACGTGACGATATTTAACTCTTAGGAAGTCTTAATATTACGTATTCCCATTTTTTGGTGCCAGTAAATAAATGCAAAAATTTCGGAGAATAAATAAATATAACAAAAAAATGCCAAACAGAGAAATTAATAAGTTTGTTACAGTAGAAATAACAAATGGGAAACGTCATCATCTTGAAATATGACCCCATTAGTTGGCCTACTTCATTTCAATTTTCCATAAGTTTAAATCTAACCTTATCTTAGATTATCATCTACTCTTTATATTTTTATATTCATTTACAAACGTTAATTTCTAGTCTTATTCTGATTTGATATTTATATATACGTATTGCCTCATTCTTATTATTATATACAAGTACACGTTTGGCAACAAAAATGTGGACATATTTATAGATCTAAATGTAGATATATAGGTATTTACAGTACGTTTCTTGCATAATCATTCTCGAAGATGCTTTGAAATTTATAAACGTAGAGTAAGTGTTTATATATACACATACTTAATTTAGTATGATCAAATACGTTTCCTCGAAGTCCAATGGATCACTATATCTAAATTCTCAATCGAGATCAAATGCAGAACCGAATTAATAATCATAAAAGTAGCTGTGGACCATAAAAATAAAAAATAATAAAATAAAAGATTAGAGATACCCTTATTTATATGTACGATTGCTTGCACACATGGATAAGAGAAAATTGAGTTTAGGGTAAGAGAGATCAGTGATCAGATCTGAATATTAAATTTAGCAAATCAGAAAAGGACTGAAGAAGACATAAAGGCTTTTGATAGTGAAGGTCTTGTCAATACTTACATATATATATATAATGTTTAGCAAATGAAATATATGATATATACTTCTTTACATCATCATTACCCTACCTGTTTTTTGCTTCTTTTTGTTTTTGGAATTTTGTTGCTGTTTCTTTTGGGCATATTCTTATTTTTTCTGGTAATTCAGATTTGTGCAGACAAAACAAAGCACGTAAATATATATATGCTAATGTAAGTCCTTACTTTGAGATTCGAACTTTTAATTATTAGTTGTATTAAAGAATATCACCTACAAATAGTTGAACCAGAGGCAGACTTTGATTTTTCATAAAATGTAACGATTTATTTCAAGTGATATAAAACTATTATCATAAAAGTGGGTATATATAATATAATGTACATTGTATTTGTATATGTACGATGTTCATAATTTAGTGGTTGAAATCACAGCCAATAAGAAAGATATAATATCTCAATTCATTGTTGGTGTTCTTGTCTCTATTATTACATTGGTTATTTGTTTGTATATATCTTTCTAATTTGGACCCGTAAAGAATTAGATAATTTCATCAAGGTCCCTATTCTGACTATAGATAATAATTAAATCATTGAACTGTTTCATGATTAATCTGAAATTTGTTGAGTCTTTTACATTTAAAAATTTACGGACCCACTTACTCCAAATTTTAATAGAGATGGGACCATCGATTTAAGTGATGTAAACAATAGAATAGGAAGATATGATCAAATCCTCCAAAATTATTTAATTTATATAATTAATTCTAAACCCATAAAAAATACATTCGCTCTAGTGGATAAAAAAAACTAGCTGAATTTCTATACTATGGTGTCCTACGGTAGTAGACTAATTCGGAGAAAAAAAACTGACGAATTCAATAATTACTCGAAGACTGATATTAATTTCTTCAGTTTCGCAATGTCATATTCTGAGTTTTTACTTAAATTAAGCAAAGGTACACGGCAAATTGATCAATGTATCAAGTGTGAAAATTGTCGAAATAGGCAAAACGCATTGAGTTTGTTATATATTTTATGGTATCAGTTGCATGTGACTTCTATAACTTAAAAGAGTATCAGAGTGCATAATCTTGTAAGAAGTTTTCATAAACATCCTAAATGCGTTTCTAAATACAATAACTTTTTAACAAGGCTTCCTAAGTATCTTTTACAAAATCGTTGGAACTAGTTGATTTTTTTTTTCTTTCATTTTTTCTTTACGTAGTATTCTTTAATTCTTCGAACTGGTACATTGTTAATAACATCAACAAGTTGACAGTTAAAACTTTGTTATTATAAAATGTATGCAACTACAAGATAAATGTGTTAAATACAATACCTAATTAAATTAACATAAGTGAATGTACTACAATCACAACTTTAGGGTCTTCTTTTTTTTGGTATTTAAAAAACCCTTTAAAAGTTCATTTGAAAGGATTAGCTTCAATATGTTATTCTGAATTAGTTTGTGATGTTTTTCTTTTCACATTCTTCCATCGAGAAAATTAATCTAATTGCTAGAATTCGACTTCCCCAAATTAATGAAGATTCCTAAACATTTGGTCTATAAAGACAAAACATAAACGAGATTCAAACTGTAGTAGATACAAATTTCGTAATTTCAATACATAACCAATAAAAAGAGAAAAAACCTTCTCTCTTCACTTGTTCACACGTTCATAGATTCTTCTGTTCCTAGTTTCTCGCTTCTCTTTCATCTCCTCCTGCAGTCTCTCCAACTCAGATAAAATACCTTGTACCCCAAGTCTCGGTTGTGTCTTAAATATTTCTGGCACTTTCCTATCTTCTCCATAATACCATCGCAAGAAATCCTTAAATCTCACAGGCGGCTTCGTACTAAACAAGCCACGACCCTCCCCGTAGTTAATGACAGAAGGTAGGATATGTAAGAACATGCCCTGATGCATACATTTGTCCTCGAATTCATTCATGTCCACATCGCGTGGAGGCCGACTCTTCTTCTTCACTACTTTCTCCGGATCATACTTACCAATGGAAACGTATTTCCCGTTTAATTCTCTCCTTTGAGCATCAGAGGAGCAAGAATATTCCTCTTGATCAGCTTCAGGTCTAATATCATACGATGGGTTAAGTTCCTCGCCTTCTGCATTAACCTCTTGCGTATCCTCTGTAATGGGTTTAGGTTTAGCTGCTGCCTCCAAAACGCGTTTTGGTTTGAGTAAACGTGAATCGATTAGGAACGTTACAAACTCTTCTTTCAGAGACTTGTGATCGTGAAAAATCACGTCGAGTTTTTCAACAAGAGCCTCGTTATCACCAGAAAACCATAACGCATCGAAAAACGCTCTGTGTACACTTTTATCTCCCAAAGCTTCTAGTTTGTTCAAGAAATCAACCGTGCGTTGCAAGTCTGGTTTCTTCTCTTTGATTGAGTTACTTTCACGAGAAGAAGAAGAAGAAGATGAATCAGACAAAAGCTGACGAAACTCTTCGAGCAAACCGTCGCGGTTACGGAGAATGGAAACGACTCTGTCTCTGAGATCGACGAAGGTTATTGATCCAGATTTGTAAGACTTCATCGCGTCGAGGCATTGATTAAAGATTCTCTGATCATCATCCAAGTTTCTCAGTTTTTGCAAGAATTCGCAGCTTCTTTGAATCTCTTCCTTTGAAAAATCCGTCCGAGTTTGGTAATAGTCGTCTCTCTCATGATTCACACGACGTCTCTTGCAACTTCTCATGCTTGTTGGTCTCTTCTCTCTACGTACCATAAGAGCCGGCTTTTAGTTTATGATGATGAAAAGAAGAGCAGTTTTGCACTGTATTTATAAGCTTAGGGTCTCTAAAATCCTATCTCCACATGAATTACGGTTCATTATAACTCCTAACCCTAATCCAAATAGACTTTCCTTTTTTCGTTGGAACTTTCCAAAAGATTTGGATAATTTTTGGATTTGTGGGACCATCTTTCAAAATTAAGGAAACTATGACCGAACAAAAAAAGGAAATACGTAGTTTTTAACGTTTTAATATATCTTTGGTTTTACAGTTTTTTGGGGTTTAGAGTTTAGTTTTAAGACATACGATTAAGTCGGTTTAAAATTTAACCTAATTCAGCCGTAGTAAAGTAGACACGCCCGACCTAAACCCTAACTTAGCGAGAAAGTCATCCAATTTCGAACCATGTGCGACGAATACAAGATCGAAGATTTCTCCGAGCGCATCACACCAGTCAATGGTGCTACGACAGCCATCTTCTGAGACGTAGAGGATTTCCTATTCCCTGTTAGTTCAAGTCCTGATATGATCTATCGCAAAATCGAATCAGCTCTTCATAAAAGGGAATTCATAGGTCAGGTATCAATATGGGTTTATGTTGATGACAAGAAAGGATCTTGGTGGGGTGGTGAGTTTCTGCTTAGGAAGACGTGGGAAGCAAGAATCTACTTCCTTCCAGGAGGGGATGATAAACTCTCGAGACATAATAGAATGTTTCATGACTTTCTTTTCTGGTCAATGGATATTCTCCTGAGGAGGACATTCCTGAACCAGCAACTGTGATCGTAGTCTCAGATTTAGTCGCAGAGGATCCCAAGTTCTTCCGTATGCTTAGAGGTTTGAATAATTGGAGTGGCTACCATGTTTACTTAGCAACTCCGAATCATCACCACAAACCAGAACATGATGAATGGCCAGGATTGCTATTTGATAGATTATACTGTTTAATTCACTTGTGAAAGCGAATAGCTCAGAACGTAGACTCGAAGAAACACCTGAAGGGTCGGAAGATCAAGCCTGATACTCTCTGATTATATGTGGACTAGAGCTAGCTTCTCTGTTCCTAGCCTTGGATTTACTATCAAAAACTCGGTTTTCTTTTTATCTATAATTTCATTATATTTCAAACTGCAAACTCTAGTGTTCATTTTTGTTTTAGTAATGGTTTTGACTTTCTTGAGCAAAATAAATAAATTTAAACCTACTTTGTTAACTTAAGAAAATATATAGACTAAATTTTAATTTTGGGTATGATTTATAGACTATCTTATTGTTCATAGCAATTTCATGGTAGCTAACTATAATGAATACAGAAGACTTTTGCATAGTAATGATGATTTTAAAGCAGATAATGAGAATAGATTACTGATATTATTGAAAGCCAAAAAAAAAAAAAAACACAATAAACAGTACACAACAAAGCAAAGCTTACACACTCATGGCACCGTCAACTGTTAACAGTTATACGATTAGACCAAACCGACGATGCCTCTGGAATCTAATGTCGAAAGTTTGTCTAAAACAGCAACAAAGTAAGAAACCAAAACAGAGTCTTTGCGGAATTTTCGAAGAGAGAGAGAGACAGTGAATCTACGGAACGTTCATTACCTGGATCGATTGCAACATGTCAGAGACTGCGATCACGAGGTCACCAGATTTGATCATACCTCTTGATTTCAGCAACGAGAATGTTTTGTTCAAGTTGCTTTCCATGTCCTCTGAGAAGCTTAGACGGAACGGTATGAGTCCCCATTGTAGGTTTAACCGTCTTCTCACGGAGGTCGTGGTCGTGAAAGCGAAGATCGGACAGTCAGGTCGACACCGTGAGACTAAAGACGCCATGTGTCCGTCCTTTGTGTAGACGAAAACCGCGTCCACTCCAAGATTGTTGGCTGCAAAGTTTTGGATAGTAAAAATGAGTAACAAAACTGAGAACTGAAAGTGAAAACAGAGATTGTTTTTTGAGGAACAGAGAGAGAACTTGGGGAATTACCCATTTTAGCAGCAGAGTTGCAAATCTCTTCAGAGATTTTGTCTGAAAAAGTAGAGCCAATGGCTTGAAGTGGAGTACGCGTAGCCTCGTAGCGTTTCTCTTCCCTCCACCATCTTTCGATCCTTAGACTGACACTTCTAAGAACCGCGAGGGCCTTGTCAGGGAATTGACCCATAGCTGATTCTCCAGAGAGCATCAATGCGTCTGATCTCTGCCTTACTGCTTCGGACACGTCCGCTACTTCTGCTCTGGTTGGTGTTGGGTACTCGATCATGGACTCGAGAAGCTGTGACGCGACGATGACGGGTTTGTTTAGCGCTCTGCAGACTTGGACGATTCTCTGCTGAGCTGCTGGGACTTGCTCAAGAGGAATTTGAGCTCCAAGATCTCCTCTTGCGACCATGGCTCCATCTGATGCTAGGATGATTTCTTCCAAGTTTGTCAGTGAATCAATACTCTCGATCTTTGCAATCACTCCTATGTCCCTGCATCGTAAAAGAAATACATCATCAAATTAAACTACAAGTAAAGATGGTGGATGCAAAAGGCCCAATTCCAAAGTAGATTATATGTTTCTGATATATTATTATGATGTGTTGGTGATGAGAATATTATACTTACCCTCCACGGGAACGAGCAGCAAGATAACTCTTAAGATGATTAATTACTTCAGCTGACTTGACAAACGATACAGCAATGAAATCCACACCTTCAGCAATTCCAAAATCAATATCCAACCAGTCCTGAAACCAAATAATTGAGGTATCATCAGCCAAAATGCGCCTGTTATCCCTCATGGGAGATATTCTATATGTTTTAGTTTCTGAGTAAAACATCATTCCTCCAGCGTATTATTATATGTGCACAGCATTAACTAGGAGACAAGAGTAAACTTTTGTACACAATGACATCGCAAATAAATTCAGCACTCATTAGATTCACAGGGACTCTAGTTTGATAGAGAAAGAAGTGCTTTTGTTGATATAGCTACTTGTCTCTTTTGTGGTTTTTGCTAACCTGCCTGTAGAACAGAATCTAGGTTCCAAAAGTGTACATCTTCAAATTGTGTGTTTTTTTTTGTTACCTATCCCCAATTTACCAAATAAGGCGAATGAAAAGTGAAAGGGAAGATAACATTACAGACCTTGGAAGAAATGGTAGGAAGCATGGCATTACGCTCTCTCACAAGACTTCCATCTCTCCAAAACGTCAAGTTAGCTCGAGGAAGCAACAATCCAGGGTCGGTGCATAGACACTTGACATCAGGACCAATCTTCTCAATCACTTCAAATCTCACCATTCCACCATCAACCAAAAGCTCATCTCCAACTCTTACGTCTGCATCACAAACGAAGCAAGATTGATTTCAAGATTGATACATGTAATGATTTCATTCCCACTTCATACTTTACAAGGTAGAAACATAATTTGCAAATATACCTTCAGCGAAACCATCGTAGCTCACACTAATGGTACGTTCAGGGCGAGAAGAATCAAAAGCTCTAACAGTGAATGTCCAAATCTCACCATCCTGTAAAAGTCATTACCAAGTTTCTTAAACATTATACAGAGCAATAATGTCCTGCATCATCAAGGCTCGAATTGAGATGGAGAAGAAGAAGAGAAGAACAAACCTCTGATTTAGCTGAAGCTTCGCCCCCAAGATCTCCCATGTGAATCTCACTACCTTCAGTATCCATCATGATTGCAACTGCGAATCCTTTCTCCTCGTTAAGCCTCCTTACGCTACGGATAACACTACGGTGCCAATCGCGCGTGCCGTGGCACATGTTTAGCCTCGCCACGTTCATGCCACCGACGGCGAGCGCTTCCAATTGCTCGAACCCACACGTCGCCGGTCCGATCGTGCAGATCAGCTTCGTCCTCCTCGTGCTCCTGAATCCATTCTCCTTGAGCTCCGCTTCCGTCACTGTATCGACCTCTATCGCCGCCGTATCCGTAGAAACCGCCGTAGCTACGACGGATCTCTCCTCTGATTTCACAGCGCCGGAGCCGTTAAGAGAGAGAAGGACCTGCGACGCCGAGGAGGAGGAGGAGGAGGAGGAATCTAGATCCGGTGAAGGCGACGGAGAGGAGGAGGCTCTGATTGATGTGTACTTGATGGTGGAGGTTAGAGGGAATTGGCGGAAGGAAAAGGAAGTGAGAGGACGGTGGAATCGTGATTGAGGGAGATGGAGAGTGTGTGAAGGAGTGGAGAATTGGATAGACTGAGACATAGTTTTCCGGCCGGAGAAGTGAAGCTCCGGGAGATCGGAGAAATCGGTACAGTTGGCTCTGAGAGATGATTGTTGAAGAAGAAGGCGGATATATCGAAGTGAGAGTGTTGAGAGTTGGATTTTGATTTTTATATGAATTGATAGATATGACTTCGTAAGGTCAAAATTGGAATATATGAGATATTGTTGGTGTCGTTTTTCTTCAAGTGTGTTCATAAGATAATTAGGTATTCCATTAGAGTGAAGCAAAAATGATTGTATGAGCCATTAGATGCTGATATTCGACTCTTTTGGTATGTTTTTTTTTTCTTTTTTGCGGTTTGAAAATGTCATCGAATCAGCTAAGAGTAGCAAGCATAATACTAGTGTATGAGCAATTAGATGCTAATAATATGATGCAAACACACGAGCCATTTATTAAAATCTACCAACATAGAAAAGACCATATCCAATTATATAAAGAAAAGCCAAGGATCAGACAGAGATACAAGCATGTAAAACATGGATTTTTTTTTTTTCTGCATAAGGGTCAACTCTGTTCCTAAAGAAGAAGCCGACTTTGCCAAAGATGCCTATTTTTAATTGATAAAATGACAAAAAACTGTTTCATCCTAACAAATAACATAACAATTTTGAAATGCGAATATAATAAATACAGTAAAAACTCTATAAATTAACAATATTAGAACTCTTAATTTTTATTAATTTATAGAGTTATTAATTTATAAAGAGACTAACTAAGTTAAAATTTAAAATTTGGACCAACAAAATTTAATAACTAATCGAGTTTATCAATTTATCGAATATTAATTTATAAAATTTCTACTCTTGTACATAACAAATGTGTAGCGAACTCCAACGTTTGGATTGAAAGAAACCTAAACCACTAAAAATTGTTTTGATGATCATTAAAAACACACAAACTTAGAAACAACAGCAGTAATTTTCTGAAACCAGATACAAAACATAACACAGACATCAGCACTTATCTGACACCAATCGTCATCATGAGCTCCATCTTTGTCAAAAATCTTGATCACAACGGCTAGTCTTGATCGGATCTCAAGTAATGGATTTATAGATCAGTTCAATGGCTTCCTCAAGGCATGTCGCGGCTGTCCATTGTGGAGAGGGAGAAGTTGGTCTTTGTAGATAATAATAGTGAAACAAAAAAAGAAACATCACTAACCTTAGTTAGAGATTTTAGATATTGTTCTCGGAGGAGAAGCTAGTGAGCAATTTTCTGGATCGCCATGAACCTCTCCTTTCAGTCTACTCATGAGTCCATCATAACCATGAGGATGAAATTGTTGTATTTGCTACATTTCGATGACAACACGTTCAATCTGGTTCATGAGTTTTTCTCCAGTTGATAGACTTGTGCAAAGCCACTGTGTATCAAATGGCTGTCCTGATGATGCTTCCTGAGACTGTGTCAAAATAACATTGTAATTGCATCTCGATTTCAGAAAGTGAATAGTCCTACAGAGCCTTATGTGCCAAAAGATTTCTCTCACGATTAGCTTTAGATTTAACGATCTACGCCTATGGCGAATGGGAAAACCAAGTAAGTTCACTGCAAACTGCTCAAGTCTGGCATGTTTATTTCTGTTTCTTGAGACAAATATATATATATATATATATATATATAAAAGTAAGAAGAGAGAGAATTGCCGTAATCAGATGCAGGAGTGTAGATGGAGGTATTTTTAAGTTGATTATTTCCTTGTAGGCAATGTTTGTACCTTCACCTAAAAAATATGTGTAAATTTAGTGCATCATACATCAATAATCAACTGAAAAACACAAAGGATGATCAGGTTACCTTCTAATTTTACCACATGTTTGAAGTCAATCTTGTGCGCCGACCACTTGTTACATATATTTGTATTATCAACAACAAAAAATTCAGGCTCTCCATGGTAATCGAAATCTCTGACGGATGTTTGTTTGGCTATCAAATACATGTTTCTTAGGTTGTCTTCAAGATTTGATCTTGATACATGGGAATACAAGTTTGAAATTTTATGGATTTTGGTAAATTTGCATCTTTTGTTGCGTTAGTGCCTTTATTTAGGTTACTTGCTTAAGTGTGTATTTTTTTTTTCTGTTACAAAATGTATGTTCTGTTTAAGATCTCATCATAATTGGTCAAGACACATGCTCATATTGTTGAACGCTTTCATATATGCAATACTTGCGAGGTATAGTTTCGTATGGCAAGTTTCTGTAGGTGTTGTTTATCTAGCTTATTTTTTGTGGCAAATGATTGTTTTGTAGTTTCTCCTTTATTGAATAAGCCATGTTCCTAGATGAAACCATATCCGTTTTTTAGGTCCTTGTGCATGTGTTGTTATATGTCAAAATGAATGATGGAGATAAACATTACTAAACTTATAATAAATCATACTTCGTTGTCATGCATGAAAAAAAAAAGTGAATAGGAGGATTTTTACAACATTGAACCAGTTCCCGTCCAAAAGCAATTGTTTGACTCTGGCATATATTCAACTTGGTTTTTAAGCTTTGCTATTTAAAGATTTGTCTAACAAGCTCTTTTTGGTTGCTCACATTGGAGCTGTGTCCAGAGTTTCAGGTCTTAGCCGAAACGTGTCAGGTGAACAAAGAAAGGCGAAAGAATCATCCACTTCTGTTGGAAGTCAAGCGGTAGAAGTTCAATGCATTGTCGTTTCTGACGTGAAGGCAAAGACTATCTTGGCACCACTGATAGACTACTAAAGATTCAATTCAAAAGGCCCTATGAAAGAAAAGATTCTTGTTTTGTTTCAGTTTTTGTATTTCTTTGTAAACTAAGAGACTCATCGATATAGTAGATTTTATCTGCACAAATGAATCATTTTTGTTTTGTTTTGCCAATTACATCAATTTCAATGCCGCCGAATGGAAAACACAAACTCTTCTGGAAGAAATAGAGAAAAAAAAAATATAAACGCGAGAGGAAATGAAGATTAAAGAATGGAGCAGCCACATCGTTTTGCTTCTTTAGGGCCTTCGAACCATTGATCCCATGTTGCATTCACTGGCCCCATTGTTCTGCAAAGTAGTCAAAAAGCTTTCAAATCAGAACAAATGATCTCACAGTAATGAAAGGGAGAATGCAAAACAGAAGTAGAATTACTCGGGAAGAAGAGGATCGGGATTGCTGTCAACACTGTCTAAGAACCTGCATCAATTCGAGAAACGAGTCAAGCTTATGGAACGATGATGATTCGTGAACCGGATGTATTGGATATGCGGAAGTTCTTACTCTTTGCAACAAGCTGATGCATTATCCATCTTTTCAAGCTGCTCAAGCTCTTCCTGAACATAAATGGAGGAAGAATCAATTCATATACACCTTGTTAACATTTTTAAGGCAACCAAAAACAAGTATTCGATTTCACTAATGTCTAAACAGCTATGTGGAGAAGAGCTTAAACCCCACGGGCTCAAAATATGACCTTAACATAATTGAAAAGACCTTAAGACTTTACCAGTTTCTGCAAAGGATCATCTCTCTCTCTCTCTCATAAGGGTAACATTTTAGCATCACATCAACTCTCGACAAGAAGAGTGTTTTACACTATCTCTGAGCTAATTGAAGGTCTATAACAAAGTCACGTTTCTCCACAACACAACAAATGATACATGATCTTGCTTAAACTCTCTTAAATATGAATAAAAGCTAATCTGAGATCCAATTTTGTTCAGCTTCTCAACAGAGAAGCAAAACAACCATAAAGACTGAAGACACTACCAAATCAAACTAACCAAAGCTGTTCACTTCATCCACTCATAGAATCAAAACAAGAAAACCCTCTAAATCAGATCAACGCTTTTGCTATTGCTTCCTAATTCCCACAACTAAAAGTGTCAAACTTTCAGATTCTCCACCATACTCTACTCAGACAACTACAATTCCCTCCAAAAATAACCATTTGAAGGAGCAGAAAATCAAAAGACTGATCCATTATGATGATAAATATCAGACAGATATAACACCTTCAAGCTGAATTAATCAAGATAATCACACAAGAAAAAGGGTTTTAGAGGAAAGTATTACCTCTAAGAAGCGAGTTTCTTGTTCAAGCCTTTTGAGTTCGGCTTGAATCCTGTGTTTGCCTCTTGTGTCAACGACCCGCCCGGAAAGTTGACCCGACGAATTGGAGCTACCCACTTCCATCAAATTTTTTTTTTCACCACCAAAATCTCAACTCAGCCCCAAACCAAAAACTTAAACAACGACAGAGAAGAAAGACAAGTTTTTTTTAAGAAAAATTTGATGTGAAAATTTTACTCAGAGGGAAAAGATCACCATCGATTATGGAAACTCATAAACATTCACAAAACCCCATATTTACTGGTTGGACACAAATTTCAGGGATTTGAGAAACAAATAGATCTCGAGAATTCTACAGAGAGAGACAATTGTTGGAATTTCCCAAAAAAGGAAAAAAAAATCAACTTCTATTTGTTGACCCGACTTCAAAAAGACCTTTTCCGATGATCGAAAGGGTCGAAGGGGAAAAAAAAAGTTTAAGATTTTGAAAGAAGAAAAGCGAGGAAAAGAAGAATAAGTAGTCTTTTTAGTTGTCAAAATGATAATATTATATGAAAATCGAAAATCACTATTTTTGACATTATATTTTGTCTCTTTTCGAAAAAGATTTTTGTTTATGCACGCGCCGATTCGGCATTATATGGGCCTCTAGTGGCCCAATAAAGTGTATTTTATCAGTTTTTGTTCATGGTTATTACATATCAGTAATCACCTACAGTAATTTTTACATTTCAAGCTTGTGTGGTTAATACTTATATTTAATCTTTTCCGTTAACACAAAATATTTTAACCTCCTGTTTTTGTTTTCATGAAGAAATCAGTTCTATTTTTTTACTTATTTTTGTATTTTAACTTTTTATTTTGTCTTTTGAGATGATCCAGTTTCATGGTTGGTGTGACCGCACGTGAGTAACAAGTCGTAGATGAAGAAGTAAACTATGGGGCTGTGGGGTATGTGTGACTACTTCTGGTCAACATTTGACCATGTATAATTTCTCCAGTTATGTTCATTTCACTGTAGCACTTCTTTTTTATTTAGGAATGGTTGAGTAACAAGTCATAGATAAAATCCCGGAATAGTCCTATTTAAAGTTTAAAGGAGTTTCTTGAGACCCCAAATAGGTGCATAAAAGCAATTACAAAAAATAAGATGGTACCGAACCAAAACCAGCTTGTAGAACAAATGAAACAAGAGAATCAACACATTTGAAAGATAGAAAAAAAGAACGAACGTTTATTTTGAACAAATGATAGATTAGGTCGTAATTTCTTTTTAAAAAAATAATAATAGCATGAACATTTGAAAGTGATAATTGTGAACATTAATAAGAAGCGCTCTAAGATTATCCATTCGGTATTATTCCCATGTGTTTTTCCATTTTGTTAATGATTTTTGTTTGCCTTGTTACGAAAATAAAAAATTCTGATCAATTGGACTATGTTATTTCAAGGAAGATAGACCCAAATGCAGATTTTATTGCTAAATGTGGTTTCAAACATACTTGCATTAAGTTTTAGCTGTAAAACGGCAACATTTGAAATGAATTTGCTTGTATTATTTTTTTTGACGGCTCTATAATGTTATCTTTCAGTTTAAAAACATTGTGGAATGGCTTCATTATATGATAGTGTCAAAATTGTCTCAATATGCTTAGAAGTGAAGTGAAAACATAAAAGGAGGTGTGCCGGATTATGGCTAGGGTTACAAATAACTTGAAAGAGGCGAAGGAAGAGGCGAAGGAGAAGACGAAGGCGGAGGCCATGGTCAAGTGCAGAGCCACCAAGCCATAGTGCACAATCCCGCCCAAGCCACCTTACTTGCTATCAACCTTTTGTTGGTGGCACTCTTTGAGTTGGAGGACAAAAAGAAGTTGCATGGAAGTCATTTCATGGCAGATTTCATACGCTGGGACATGGCGTTTTCCTTGGATTTCATTATCCTAGCAACTGTCCTCTTGTCTAGGTATGCCCCAAGGACGGCCAGGCTTTTTGACAACTTAGGTGTGGCTGCTCAGCTGTGGCTGTTTTACTCTATGACTTCTTAATTCTCCAATCCTCGTTCAAGAAATCTTACATGGATGTCATCATCTCGGTTGTTTTACGGTTTCTTGCATTGTCGACTTCAAAATGAACTTCAACAAGTTCTTAAATTAAATATACTGAAACGTCTGGGCTTAATTATAGTATAGTTGTTTTCTATTCCGTGTCCTTGTCCATTATCTAATGTTTGGTAGTTAAAGCCTCTTTGTGTATGTTCTGAACCGTATATTCTCAATATACAGTTCACTTTTTCGTTATCTTCTTGTCAATTCATTTATATTCAGTGATAGCATTTAAGTATTAAGGAACAATGAAAGAAAAGAACAACGGTCTCGAGAGACAATCTGAATTAGGGTTTAGGAATAATGAATAAATGCTCTGTAGTGATAACAAGGATAATGAATAAATGCATATTCTCTTTATTATCTCTAACCTGTTCATTTTGTTTGGTTTAGTTCATAACGACAGTGATGAAATAGTGATAACAAGGATAAAATGGTACAAAACCAAAACCGGCTCGTAGAACAAATGAACTAAGAGAAGCAACACATTTGAAAGAGAAAAAGAAAAGAATGAACATTTATTTGAAACAAGATCACCTTTCTGTGAGTTTACTATACATAGATGATACATTAGTTAGTATTTTTCTAATAAAAAAATAATTAGCATGAACATTTGAAAGTGATCATCGTGAACTTTAATAAGTAGCACTCTAATAAGATTCAAGAGACTACAAAAAATATAGTGCCATAATTATTCAAAAAGTGTGGAACCATTGTTTTTACACGAGTGTGTAATTTTTATCCATCTCGATCTTTAAATGTCAAAACAGGAACAAAATTCCAAACAAGTAAGGAAGAATCAGACAACGGCTGCAAAATTGATTTGAAATGTGAACCACTTCATACCACAGAATTAAAGAAGAATATTTCCTCATTTACATTTTTATGCATGTGAGTATGTGACATATCATTGCACCATCAATTGTAAAATGAATCAACGGTCGTCGCTGGTTTTCGGTTCATACGTCATTTTTTGTTCGAGGCCTAAAACTATATGTATGGTAGTTTGTTTCCTTCAAACTTAGCGTTAACACCGTCCAATTTTGGCTCGACAAATCTGCAATGATCACCTAACCGCATTGATCACATTATCTCTCTTTTTTTTCTTTTTTCACTTTTTTTGGTCACGTAACTAAACCATTCAACGTAAAGAAGATCTCATGTGTTCTGATATATACGGCCCAAGGTTTTACTTTTAATAATAAATCAAGAATCCGGGATGAAATATCTAACAAGAAAGGAATTCTCTTTTAGTGGCACAACTGTTAAGGAACAAAAACAAAAAAAGTAAAAGTCATCAAAGCAACGGCAACTAAAGTTTTATCAAGGTAGGTCGCATGCATTCGTATTCGTATAACTTGGGGATTGTGTAGTACACATGACCCAAATTTAAAGGTAAGTTTCTAATTTAAGTATAAAGGTAAGTTTCTAATCTCATACACATACATGACCCAAAATTGAAAGGCAAGTTTCAAATTTAAAGGGATTGATATATAAAGTTTCTAATTTATTCAAGGTAAGCATGATTGTGACCTTTTAGTAAGGTAATGAATTTTAGAGACATAAAATATGGAGAACAAAAAACCCAAGAGCTCTGTTGGATTTTTGTTGTTGTAGTGTCAGTACGTGCCGATGCCACCTTAAAGATTTTTTATGCGATTTTTCTGATTATCAATAGGTCAGTCTGTTTTTTTTTGAACCAGGATGGAATAGTGTAGTGAAATGTAATTTGGGTCAAATTAACATAAATAAAAATGCATAACGTTTTTGCATATGAAGTTTATATTGAGGGAGCTAAGTGTAATATTTATCTATTCCGATTCACGGTAATGAAAATACCACGTGTCATTTCGCGAACACCAAAGACGTCGGCCAAAACAAGTCCTTCCCTTAGTAGACACGCAAAATTACCACTTTACCACTCAAATCAAATCACGAGAAAGGAAAGAGAAATAGTTTTATCAAAACAAGTGAACATAAAACAGAGAGAGAGACTGTGAGTATTTATAAAAGCTTCTTCTTCTTCTTCTTCATGTAACCCCGCTAATTTCGAAACCTCGAAAAATCAAACTGATTCAACCCTTTTGGAATTTGAAATCGGAAGAAAAATGGCTTCGCGTCTTGGAGTCTCCATACGCGCCGCCTTAAGCGCGTCTCACGTCCCTCACTTGGACGACGGACGATGGCGTGATTCCCTTCCGATCAATACACCACCATCGGCGGCGAATCGGAGGAATCGAAGGGGGAGAATCGGGTTTAGGACTCTTAGGGTTTCAAATGAAGGAGCTGAATCGTACCTTCATATGTGGAAAAACGCCGTTGATCGCGAGAAGAAGGAGAAGGCATTCGAGAAGATAGCCGAGAATGTAGCCGTCGATGGCGAGAAGGTTGAAGGAGATTTAGAGAAGAAGAGCGATGAATTTCATAAGATTCTGGAAGTTTCCGTCGAGGAGAGAGATCGGATTCAGAGGATGCAGGTCGTGGATCGTGCCGCGGCGGCGATCTCGGCGGCGAAAGCGATTCTCGCCTCTAATAATTCAGGCGACGGGAAAGAGGGGTTTCCAGATAAAGAGAAGAGTGACGGAAGTAAAGTCACGGAGACTCGGAAAAATGCTAAATCAGGTACTTTTCTATGCTGAATTCAAATTTTCAATTTCTTGGTTATTTGTTGTTTATTAGCTTTTACTTGTTAGATTTCTTCACTATCTTTTGCATACTCTAGACTTATGATATGATTAGCACTTCAATTAGTCAGTCTGTTGTTTCTTGCAGTGAGAAATGTGTTGTTGAAATCACATTCAAGAATCACATCGAGAATTTACTTGTTAGATTTGTTGGCTTCAAGTTAAAATAGATACTTTTTGGTTGAATTCTAATGCTAATTTGGATTGATCGAGGTTTAATGTTAAATTTGGTGCTAATTTGGTTTGAGTTTTTACAATCTATGTTGTTGGAATTGACCAGGAATGTGGAGCAGAACAGTTTATGTGCCTCGGTCAGAAACATCTGGGTCTGAGACTCCAGGACCAGATTTTTGGTCGTGGACACCTCCTCAAGGTAGTGAAATGAGTTCTGATGACAACGGTGGCTTACAGGCTGTGGTCGAGCCTGTTGAGTTTCCAACCTTGTCAAATCCTGTATTAGAGAAAGAGCATTCAGCAGATTCTCTTTCGATACCTTATGAGAGCATGCTTTCTAATGAAAGACATAGCTTTGTTATCCCGCCTTTTGAGTCTTTGATCGAGGTTAAGAAAGAGACAGAGACAAAGCCTAGTTCCGAGACGTCATCGTCGGAACATGACCTTGAAGTCATATCTTCAGCAAATGCGGAAGAGGCGGCTCGTGTTCTCGATGGTTTGGATGAGACTTCATCCCATGGAGTTAGCCAAGACGGGTTGAAGTGGTGGAAGCAGACCGGTGTAGAGCAAAGGCCTGATGGTGTGGTTTGCAGGTGGACAATGATACGTGGTGTTACTGCTGATGGTGTTGTTGAGTGGCAAGACAAGTACTGGGAGGCCTCTGATGAGTTTGGGTTCAAAGAACTTGGTTCAGAGAAATCAGGACGCGATGCAGCTGGGAACGTGTGGCGTGAGTTCTGGAGAGAGGCAATGATGCAGGTCAGTGAAACTTGAGCTTCTACTTAATATGCTAGTGGAGAGATATTGAGACTGACTATATTTTGGATTTTGTCTTTATTACAGGAGAATGGTATTGTACATATGGAGAAAACAGCAGACAAATGGGGAAAAAGTGGACAAGGTGATGAATGGCAAGAGAAGTGGTGGGAGCATTACGATGCTACAGGGAAATCAGAAAAATGGGCTCACAAGTGGTGCAGCCTTGACCGCAACACACCACTCGATGTTGGACACGCTCATGTTTGGCATGAGAGGTAACTCAAAACAACAGAGACCGTCTTTAGCCTCAATTGGAATGTGTCTAAATCTGTTTTTGATGATTGGTTATATCACCAGGTGGGGAGAGAAGTATGACGGGCAAGGCGGAAGCACAAAGTACACAGATAAGTGGGCAGAGAGGTGGGTAGGGGATGGTTGGGACAAATGGGGAGACAAATGGGACGAGAACTTTAGCCCGAACGCTCAGGGAGTGAAGCAAGGTGAGACTTGGTGGGAAGGGAAGCACGGTGACCGTTGGAACCGGAGCTGGGGTGAAGGACACAACGGTTCGGGTTGGGTTCACAAATACGGTAAGAGCAGTAGCGGAGAACACTGGGACACACATGTGCCACAAGAGACTTGGTATGAGCGTTTCCCTCACTTTGGCTTCTTCCACTGTTTTGACAACTCTGTTCAGCTCCGAGCTGTTCGTAAGCCCTCTGATATGTCCTAGAAAATCAAAGAGCAAAAGCAATAACAATTTTATGTAAAGATAAAGATATCTTTTGGTACAATGACAATTACTCGATGCCTTGCCTAAGTTACTGTTGTATAAATAGAACGATTGATTAAATTTTGGTGAAATTTATAAGTCTCCCATCTTTCATTACAGACAAATAAATATATTTGTGTGGATCAGATTGTTTTTTTTTTTTTTTTTTTTCGTTTGCAAGTCATGATTTATTATGTAGTCATGCCAACAGCAATATATATTTTTCATTTTTATGAAAAAGATATATTATTTTTGCTGTAACTAAATTGTTAATATGTAATAGTCATTAAATTTGACATGTCATATAAAACAACTTAACACCTAAGTTTTGGTGGGAATTAACTTTTACACTTTACACTTTGGTTCAGTAATCCTGAATTCCCGATCATTCTCTTTCTCTCTCGATCTCCAATGAAGCCTTCTTTCTTCGCAAACTTGATGATTACTTCTTCATCTTCTTCTTCCCATGACAATGACATTGAAACCGATTTGGCAAATCTTCTATTTTGTTCTCAGCTCACAAGCATGCCAAGAGAGAGAAGTTTGCTCTCAGAATAGAGATCCAGGGACTACTGAAGAATACCTGTATGGTATGTTGCATGTGAGTGAAAAGATTCTGTCCAAAATAATTGAAAATGTTTTAAAAGTATTTATCATATATACAGTAGTTTTTTGATGAATATGGTAACTTATTAATTAAATTACATCAAATCAAAAACAAAAATTTGCGTGTTTTTTTGTGCATTTTTATTATTGTTGATTTTCTAAAACATATTTTTAAAAACTATAGTGAGAAAATACATAATGCATTCATAATTTTAGATAATTTTGCCTTCAATCAAAAGTTTTAAAAGGACACATGGGGCTCTTAAGGTTATTCTTTTCTTGAAACCGAAAGAAAATTTCAATGTTCTCTTGACTCAGCCTCAGAGTACATCAGTACCACTACGTGATGTAGAATGGTTTTGCACAAACCTATCAGCTGGTAAAAAAAACTAATCAACCAAATTGAACGTGGGGTTGTGGAAACTTTGACTCTTTCAAAGGATCTTGGTCTTGGTTTTTGTATTGTATTTGGTTGCTTTTGTTGTATCTTATTCTTCTCCATCCTCTCAATGTTGTTGTTTGCTTGATTGTTTGACTCATTCAACAGGTATTCTGACGCTTGGTTTGTATTGTGGCTGCGGGCTGCCTTCTCGGTTAAGTAGTCATATAAAGCATGGTTGATGCTTGTTATAAGCCAAACGATCACTACAAGAATTGCAGAAAAATAGTTTTCTTGTTCTTTGGTTAGATATAAAAAACTCCATCTTGGAGTAATGGCTTTTCTATTTGTAAATGATATCCTTATTTTAAGCCTTTTGTTCATTAATGTGTAGCTCTGGTTTGTTTTTGCAAAGGCTGACTTGGATGTTGTTTTTTTTGTTTTATTTTAAACCCTTGACTCTTGTGAATGTGCAGTTAGTGAGCTAAGCTCTAGAGTTGATGTAATTGGCAATTACTAATAAATCCGAAAAGGGTAATGGTATTTCTTTGTTGTTGCAATGTTGTGTTCTGTCATCTTTCTTTCTTCAACTTCTGTTACAAATTATTTTTTTTTGTGAAAATGGTCATGTGAGTACTTTTGCTTTTGCAGTCTCAGAAAGATATCGTTTAAGATTATGTTTCCCACAACATTTGATTAGTTACAGTAATTCTCTCTGAATTTGTGTTGGAAGGTATATTTTTGATTTTGTTCCCATTTGAGATTGTTGGGAGAGCACAAAGAAGCACAAGTAAAGATATAACTTTTTATCACATGGTGTTAGGAGATAAAGATGGGAGACTTGAGAGGATTCTATTGGATTTCATGTTTTGGAGCATTGATAATCATGCACCAGCAAATGTGATGCTAGTCCTTGGAGACTACAGCTCAAGTTGCGACGAGTTTATATGTGCTCTTAACCATTTGAATTTGGCATGTTACAACATTCACTTTGCACATCCTCAAAAAGATGCACCAGGGCTCACTAATTACCCTGTCCATACAAAATGGTTTTGGGAAAGCCTATCCATCGGAGGAACTCCTCTCAAAGACCAAGTCAAATACAAAAGCTCACAAATTGTCGGCAATAGCAGAGGAAGCTTACAACGATTTCTTGGTTGGTCAGCATTTGTGTGCGCTCTTGCTGCAATGATGCTAACATCTCACTATTTCTCATTATTTAAGTATAAAAACTTGACATCTCTTCCATAGCACATAATTTGTACTCTACTCTCATTAGATAGGTGGTTCCAATGTGGTATAAGTAAAACGATAATCTATCTCGTTCACTCTAGATAACAAACTGAGATGCTCCAAATTGCTTTCCTATAACTATAATCCATCATCATTATGGGATGCAATTAGATCAACCGAATTTAAATAAACCGAGAAAATTAAAATTACAGATATATGATGTTGAACCGAGATTTGGTAAACCAGTAACCAAACAGAATTTTCTTGAGTTTTCCATATACTATGGATTTATTTTAAAATGTCAAATCGAGTTGATACATTAGCTAAGGCCCAAGGATAAAAGAAAACGCAGGCCTATTTGAGGAATACCATATTTACCACCTATTGAAGACAAATCACATTGTATATAACATTTTTACCAAAAAAAAAATTCACATTGTATATTATTAATATTACAAACCATCAGAGACGAAGAAGAATAGCAAACCCTAATTTCCGATCATACTGCGGAATCTGAGATCTTTCGTCTCGCAGGTAAATCGCGGACTGATACCTCGTCGCAAGTTTTCTTCATGTAGCAATGGTACTTACTAGCGGTAACGTTCTCTGATTCCGGAACGTATTCTATAAAACTCGCGAGGGTCTTTAGGGTTTTGATGTATTATTTTTTTTCTTCGACAAACATTATTTTATTAATTTGAACTTTAAAAGTCATCATACAATGTTTTCTTTGTATTCATTGGTGATTGTTCTCTATTTCTTTCAAGTGTAGCTCCCAAGTCCGAGGGAGGCATAGATTTGGATAGGCTTATCGGTAGGGCCGTCGACATTGGATTTCTTGCTGGCTTATTTTGTGGTAATGTTGAGATTATCCGTATATTATTCATTATTTAATTTTAATTTTTTGTAAGAGATTGAGAAAAAAAAAAACAAATTCGTGATTGCTTCTTCCTTTTTTTTTAATCGTATCTCAGTGCTAGAAGTGTATAGCCGAAGTGGAAACGCTGAAGCGTCTGGTATGAATTGTTTTTATTTTATTTTTAACATTTATGAGGTATAATGGAATCCCAAAACCAAAAAAAAAAAACAGAATCTAAACAAGAATTTTCTTTTCGAAGGCAAAGGAGAAAGTGGCTTCCAAGAAATTGAAGAGCGGCTTAATGCTATGAAGAATCAGGTTGATGCTATGACGAATCAGGTTGATGTTATGATAAATCAGGTTGATGCTATGAGAAATCAGATTGATGATTTAAAGAACTAATCACTACATGAAAACATCACATATTCCTACCATATATATCATCAGAAAATCGTAGGAAACAAATGTTTTCTACCAATTTCCGACGAAATATTATCGCAGATTTTATGCCAAGAAAATGGTAGGAAATTTCCTACAAAATTTTTGGTAGGAAAATTTCGTCAGAAAATTTGATCAGAATATCGTAAGACGATTGCTACTGTTTTCCTTCCATTTCCTACAAAAAATTTCATACCGTTTTCTTACGAACATTTTCATACCAAATTCCTTCAATTTTCCTACAAGCTATATAAAAATAATTTTAATTAAATAAATTTCAAAATTAAATAATTTCAATTATTAAATGAATTCTAAAAATTAAATCCAAAATTAATTAGCCTAATTAACAACTAATTAAAAATCAATTTTAACTAATTATAGGCTTTCAAAGCCAGAATTATATTAATTAACTTAGTATTTTTTTCAGTGTGTGTCATCATTTATAGAGCATGTTGGATGTGATTTTTACACTGGTTTGTCGATGTGAGATTTTTTCCTTTTTCTTTTTTACTGATTTTGATAGGAAATTGGTAGGATATTTAAATAATAAAATATTTATTTCGTAGGAAAATGATAGGTGATTTTTTTCATATTCTGTTTGTAGAAAAATGGTCAGCAATTTCTGATGAATTTCCTACCATAATAACAGTAAATTTTTTAAACCGATTTCTTATCATTTTCTGATCAAATTTTTTACAGATATCATTTTAGTTGAATATTGGTAAGAAAAGTTTGAATATTTTTCGATGATTTTCTAGGAAATTTCCTTTCAATTTCCTACCATTTTTATATTTTGTCATAAGTTTGTAGGAAAATGGTAAGAAAATTTCCTATCAAAATTTTCGTAGGAAAATTCATAAGAATTCAACATGTTTTCTTGTAGTGAATGAGGTTGATCTTGCTTGCAGTAAGCAGTTCTTAATTTTTTTATCTATCTTCGATTCTTTTTTTTTATTACATGTTGACATTTGGTTCTTCTCTTCTCAGGCCGTCCACACCACCAACATGATGAACAAGAATCAAACTATACTATGTTGAATGATTCTTCCGAAGAATAAAAGTCGAAGTTAGTTTTAGTTATTTTGTGACTGTCTCTGTATACCTTTAATTTAGTCTTTTTTTTTTTTTAGTTATTTTGTTCATCAAGTATTATATAGAACAAATATCAATTCGATGTACTCCGTTGCGTATTGTACAACACTCAATATATACGTGCCGTATCTAAATATGTTTTATACTTTTATTTAATTCAATGATTGGAGGCATATCGATATATAATTATGTCTGATCGTATTTGTATCTATTAAATCAGTGTCTAAAGTGGGTTATACAGTGTGTCTAGCTAGATTAGTTATATGAACCAATTTTCTAAAACAAATACTTGTTGCTCAATATGAGTGGTGGTGCCCTCACACGGAATTTAGCAATTTTGCATTTAATTTGATAAGGGACTCACACGGAATTTAGCAATTTTGCATTTAATTTGATAAGGAAGAAAATATAAAGGATAATTTCAGCTATAAATCATGGTTATTAGCATCGTTATGAATTAATGACAGTATTAGACAACAAGGCTATACGATATCTCGAGTTTTACAAGAGATCCTTAGTTGTCTTATTCATTTGCTCTTTTCTGAAATGAAGGAAATAGTCCTTTTATAGAGTATAGAAAGTATATATTACTAGCCGTTATAATTTCTGTAATTACGTCTCCTTTAATGCTTGTATATTCTCTTCCTTGTACATTCTACTCTATATATATGTAGAGTTTTGCTCATCAATAAAGACGATGCATTTCACTAAACCTAATATGGTATCAGAGCACCAAAAGGTGTAACCTTTTTTTTTAGCCACGCTTCTTCTTCTTTCTTTCTTTCTTTTTTTTCCTGATCCTTCTTCTTCGTTCTCTCTGTTCTCTGTATTTTCTCTCTTTTGTCTCTCATGGCGTCCAACTCCACTGCTGAAAGAACTTCCGTGTTCAACTCCCAAGATCCACAAAGCACACTTCTCTCTGTTAACATGTCCAGTGTGACAAAACTTACACCCCAGAATTATCTCATGTGGGGACGTCAAGTAAAGGCGTTACTTGAAGGTCATGAACTACACCAGTTCATTGATGGATCTGGAGAAATTCCCTCTAAAACAATCACCGCCAATGGTGTTTCCACTCCCAATCCGGCATATGCTCCATGGTGGCGTCAAGACAGACTCCTTTACAGTACGTTGATTGGTGCGATCTCTCTCTCTGTTCAATCAGTGGTATCCAGTGCTAACTCGTCCAAAGAGGTGTGGGATACACTTGCGGAGACATTCGTTAACCCTTCCCGAGGCCATACACGGCAAATCAGGTACCAGATCAAGACCAGTTCTAAAGGAACAAAGACAATAAGTGAATACTTGCGTCTCATAAAAGGGAAGGCAGATGAGCTTGCTCTCCTTGGTAAACCGATGGATCCAGAGGATCTCACTGAAGATATTCTCACCGGTCTCCCTGAAGAATACAAACCGGAGATTGACGCAATTAATGGTCGTGACAACCCCATCTCCTTCACCGAACTTCATCAACGGCTCTTGAATCGTGAGGCGATGATCTTGTGCACCGAATCATCTCCTGCTGCTCCGATCGTGACTAACGCCACCGACACTCGTCAACGTCATCCTCAGTGCAATCAAACTAACAATAACAATCGCTTCACTCATCGTCACCCACAACAAACTCAATATCAGAACAACAATCGCTTCTCCAAACCATATCTAGGTCGATGCCAAGCATGTGGAACACAAGGTCATAGTGTCAGATATTGTCCAGAATTTCAGATTGTCAAAGGCGGTGGCTCATCTTCATCATGGTCCTCTCCACACCAGAATTCTCAGCCGTGGCAATCTGCACCGCACCAACAACAATGGCAACCACGAGCTAATCCAGCCATGATGTCAGATTCATCTACTTGGCTTGTTGACACAGGGGTGTCTCATCATATGACGTCAGATTTAGCCAACCTCTCTCTCCAAACTCCTTACAATGGTGGTGATGACGTTCTCCTTGGCGATGGTTCTGTGTTGCAGATCTCGCACACTGGTTCTGGTTCTTTATCCTCTTATACTAAACCATTTCTTTTAGATAATATACTATGTGTTCCTTCTCTAGATAAGAATCTTATATCTGTTTTTCAATTATGCAAATCTAATGATGCTGCTGTGATTTTTACACCAACTTATTTCCAGGTGAGAGATTTACAAACGGGGGCTCTTCGTCTGGAAGGCAAGCCTAAAGATGGCACTTATGAGTGGCCAAAAATTACCAACTCCAAATCTCCTTCCCTTGCTTTTGCTTCTGTTGTGAAAACTACTCTTACGGATTGGCATTCTCGTTTAGGTCATCCGGCTTTTCCTATTCTTCAAAAAGTTATTTCTCAATTTGATTTACCTATTGTTTCAAACGTTTTGCTAGCACAACCATGCTCAGCTTGTTCTATTAATAA